AGAGTGAGGAATGGAGTGAGAGAGACAAGAAGGAAGGAACAAGTAGAGGATTTATTTTTACACACATTGGCAGGACGTGTGGAAGCACAGGTGGCTCACATACGGCGCTGCCATACAAGTCTAGATTCGTACAGCCTCCTGAACTGACTGACCCATGGGTTGGGCAGGAATGGACTGAGTACCCATGGGGGAGAGTGACAGACCCATGGGGGAGATTGACCCATGGGGGAGAGTGACAGACCCATGGGGGAGATTGACCCATGGGGGAGATTGACCCATGGGGGAGATTGACCCATGGGGGAGAGTGACAGACCCATGGGGGAGATTGACCCATGGGGGAGATTGACCCATGGGGGAGATTGACCCATGGGGGAGTGACAGACCCATGGGGGAGTGACAGACCCATGGGGGAGTGACAGACCCATGGGGGAGTGACAGACCCATGGGGGAGATTGACCCATGGGGGAGATTGACCCATGGGGGAGTGACAGACCCATGGGGGAGTGACAGACCCATGGGGGAGTGACAGACCCATGGGGGAGTGACAGACCCATGGGGGAGAGTGACCTATGGGGTGGGTGGGCTCACTGATTCATGGGGTGGGGAGGGGAGGACATACCCATGGGGGAGATCTCATCGAGCCCCTTGGAGTGCACCACCAGTGCCCTGCGGATGCCCAGGCGCTGCAGTGAACGAGCCATCAGGTCGACCTGAATGGTGCAGGGCGGTGCAGCGGGGTGGAGTGAACTACAAATTGGTTGTGGTTGTGTGACTTCATTGGATTTAATGGTGGCGTAACCAGAAACTCTGCCAGCGATAAAGATTATCCGGATCGTTAACACATACATACATACATCGCATCGTATGAGTGACATGTTCCACTACCCTTACAACTCAACTCGATGCAACCTTGAATGTCTATGCAGCCAAAACGGCGCCTGATCCTTCACCCTGAACCCGAAACCTGGACCTTCTGCCCCGGCCACCATATGCCAGCTACTCTGCCATTGAAGCCCCTCACAACTCCCATTTGACAGATATCCAGCATAAATATACATGCTGGAATTCAGACAGAGTTATGGCGGCCTCAAAAGAAAAGCATCCCAGCCTCAGTTCTGACTCGCTGGGGACTCTTAAGCGTGGGAATTTCGGACTCATAGATTCACTTACAGTCTCCGGGTTGAAGACCCCCACAAGGGCGTATGGGGCGAATGAGGGGTTGAGCATGGGTCCGAGGAGGTTGAATGCGGTTCTGACTTTGAGGGCCTTGCGCACGGGAGCCACGATGCGCATGGCGGGGTGGAAGCGAGGCGCGTACATGAACCCCACCCCCGCCTCCTGCACACAGCGCGCCACTGCCTGGTGGGGGGAAGAGAGGGATGGAAGGGGGAGGAAGGGATGATATGGGGAGAAAGGGATGGAAGGGGAAGGGAGAGATGGAAGGGGGAGAAGTGGATGGAAGGGAGATGGGGGGGCGGAAAGGGGAGAAAGGAATGGAAGGGGGATGGAGGGATGGAAGGGGGAGAAAGGTATGGAAGGGGGATGGAGAGATGGGAGGAGGAAAGATGGTTGGAGGTGATTCAAAAGGGGTGAAAGCAGGACACATACATGAAGCCCACCCCCGCCTCCTGCACAAAGCGTGCCACCTGGTAGGGTGGGAAAGAGAAATGGTGGTTACAATTGAGACTTGTCAAAAGGTTGGAACAGTGGATTTGCAAGGGGAGAAAGCTAAGCGACAAAGTAACACTGAAATTTTAGCAGGTGAGAAACGTTCGAGTGGGAGCAGAAAAACGCATAGTCAAACATTGATAATGAAAGAACACCTATCCCTTACACGTCATCTGCACTCCATTCCACACATATCCAGGCACCAAGGTCCACCTTTCACCCCAACTGCATCATGCAGCAAGGTCTTACCTGAGGGCCGAGGTCCACTTCAACGTTGAGGGCCTCTAGCACGTCCGCACTGCCACATGCACTCGACACCGAGCGATTGCCGTGCTGCTCCAGGGGTGTGGGCGGGCAGGATGGGGTGAGGGGGGGTGTACAGCGTAGTGAATCAGCAGCTAAAATCCCATCAACACTCTTGTGTGCATCGAGTGCCAAACCCCAAGTGGGAAGGCGCAAGTACTTGAGCAAGTGTGCAAAACCCCAAGTGTGCCGAACCCAACTACTGTCCTGCCACACCCACACACCTTGGCGACATGGGCACCGCAGGCAGCAGCGAGCACGCAGGCGCCAGTGCTGATGTTGACGGTGTCAAAGCCATCGCCCCCCGTGCCCACTATGTCCAATGTGTTGTCCCCCGCTGCCACCTCCACACACATGCTCCTCATCGCCGCTGCCAGCCCTGCCACCTGGAGTGAGCGAAAGGAGATAAAGGTGTTAGGAAGTGCAAGTGCCCCTCGTAGCTGCAGCTACCAGGATGCTGCCTAGACAGGAAGTAGGAGGCAATGTTGATAATTCCAAAAAAGCCCAAGAAAGAAAGAAGAAATCATTTCGCTTCAGCCAGCGTCCTCCCTTCTGCTGTTAACACCCGCTGCTGTTACCACCTTGTGCTGTCTTCCTCCTGGGTTCACCCAAGAGCCCACGAAAGCAATAATAATTGTTGTTTGTTACCCCCCCTTGCTGTTATCACCACTGGTTGCCACCCGTCTCCTATTACTAATTTGATTGCCAGGAAGAAAAGTGCTCTGCCAATCATTTGCTTCACTCCAACTCCACCACATCATCGCCATCCGCCACTGCCACCCGTCTCTTGGCCCCCTATGCTCACCTCTTCAGGCGTCTCCCCCTTGGCGCGCAGCAGCACGAGGAAGGCGCCAATCTGCGCCGCCTCTGCTCCAGCAATAAGACCCTCCATTGCCGCTTGTGCCTGCTCCTGTGTCAGGTCCTTGCGCTCTATCAGCTGCTGAATCACCTGGGGGAGCATCAACGGCGTGAATGGCGTCAATGACAGAGGAAACCAAGTGAGGAGAGAGTACACAGGAGAAAGAATCAGTCGTATGGTTCTGCATGGAAATGCGTTTTACGAGGCTGCTGTTAGCTAGCACCGAGTCTCCGCATAGGTCCTCGATGTCTTGAACTAAGTTAACTGGGCCTAAAAGCGAAAGCCACTTTCTTCCCAAAGTAACCCTAGTATTATTCACCATCACTGACTCTCATCAGCTGTACCTTGTCTAGTACAATATACCATCACCAACACTCACCTGTTTCAGGTCGGTGGCGACCGTCGACGCATGCACGAGTGCCGCTTGGCGTCTGCTGCTGCTGCATGCTTGCTGGCGCGTCGTCGACTGAAACGAGCGACTGAAAGCAGCGCCGGATGGACTCTGACGGGCCGAAGTGACGCAGGAGGGATGCAAGTCGACAGACGAAGGTGCAGATGCATTCAGAATAGCGTGCAGTAGTGTGACTAAGGCGAGTAACTGGAATTATGCGGTGGTTAGACGAAAAGGCCGGACAATGCGAGGTAATCAGGACGGTAAGTCGCGAACAGCATTCGGTAGAATAAGGTCAGCGAGCTACAATGCGAGTTCTATCAAAGAGAGAAACGATGAGCCAGAGCACTTGAACTGGTCAAGCAAAAGGACCCTCAATTCACTGACCAAGTAAGCCTCCGCGATCGACGAAGGTCAAACATACGCGTAACGAACCTGACGGCAAGATGAACCACCGCTGCTGCGGCTTACGCTTGGAAACTGTGACCGAACTCTAAGAGCAGCTGCATGGGAGGCTTGAGAAATCGCTGTCATGTTGGAGACGAACTCGTGCAACACTAGAAGCAGAATCCTGGTCCAACTGCTAAGGATTTGGAATGGAATGGAATGGAGTGAAATGTGGGTGAAATGTGGCTGGGACTGCCATGAAATGCGTGAGCAGGGAACTGCTGATAGCCCTTGAACCAGCCCTAGAAATTCGACTAGGCAGGAACAGCCAATAGGAATTCTACCTCCTAGGATGGTGCAACCTGTGTGCAAGGGGGAGGATCTGACGGCATAGGTTCGCGCTGATATCCACATAGGTGTCGGTTCGGATTTCGGGAAGAATATACGGAATATTTGCAGTAAGAGTGCTCTCTGTGTACTTTATAATTTCATGCTAACAGAAACTTTTTTTTTGGTGAATGTTAGTACACATTAGACATGCAGATACGCTCAGAGTCGTAACTGTTGTGGACAGAAACTGTTTATAGGCTGAATTCGTACCACTCCTAGAAGATGCAGGCCACACGTTTTCAGGTATCTATATGGGAAAGCTAAAAAACTAATGATTCAAGTAGGATTTACAAATAAAATATGGTAGGTGTTTTTTTATTATCACACAGAAAAACCAAATATCAGGACCATATATTCGGACATATGAAAGAATCTCATATGGAAAGCACGTAAGTATAACGCAACAAGAGATTTATAGGTTTTTTCAGCAGCCTGAACGAGATTTTCCTTTAGGTATAGATTTGTTGTGTAAATCCATAATTGATTCCAAGTGTAGCTCAGCCGCTTTAGCTGTGGTTGTGAGCTGTGGTTGTTGAGATCGTCGGGTGAAACGATCATCCAGGCATCAGGAGAGCCAAGGGACGGACGGACTTGAAACTAGCAACAAGGAAGAGCTAGGGAAAGAGGAAGTTAGCAGATTCTGATGGTCTGCATCTGTCAGTGGAAGTAATTTTTGCTGAGGCTGGTATATACTTTGGTTGGTGTTATGGTCGCTACAGGTGGATCCTTCATCTCCTGGGAATGCATTCGGTGCTAATTAGGGAATGATAAGTCTGGTCCTGCAGGCGTACCCGCTGATTCCTCAGCTTCTTTCATGGATGGCCCCGGCAGCGGCTTCGAAGTAGGTTGCAAGCTCAAGCTAAAGACGACCTTAGGGGAGCAGCTGGAAGGGGAGGTCCTCGCGTTCGATGCCTCCACAAATTGCGTCATACTTCATATCCTTTCAACAATTCACCCTTTCCCTTTCTTCTCACCACATTTATGCTCTACAATCCCATTTTGATGTTTCGAAATTGCTTTGTATCCTGTCTTGTACGCAAACTGCTTTCTGCTCTTCCGCTCCATCGTTCTAGGGTTTCTTCCTTAACTCGTTGCACACAAGATCTAAACAGCCGGGGACCGAAGAGGAACATTCGATTCATAAAGGCCGATCGGATCGAGGAGTTCTCTGTTCTGGGAAAAACTGAGGAGATCGCCTCCCTTCGGCTTCCGTATGTAGACCTAGCAGTATTGCACGCGAAGGAGGACGCCGCTGTCAGGTAAGACCTAGATAACTCCAGAATTCAAGGGCTTTTGCGGTTGCATTTTAGATTTAGCCTGAATTCAACTCTGACTGCTTTTCGTCTGACCTGATGACAGGAAAGCGGAGGGCGAAGCGGAAAGAATAGGAGTCGGGGTAACTGCAGAGGCTCAAGACATATTTTTCGCCCTATGTAAAACGTGAGATGCTTTCATGAACCTCGGATGCACGACTGCTGTTGTTAAATTGTATATTTCGTTCCCCGTTTCCACGTTCTCCTTACTCATGCTGTGATGCGGATGCAGGTTGCCTTGCAAATGGGACAAGACAAAAATCATTGTCATGGACGAGGTTCAGGTTCCGAGTCCATATAGGCCAGAGAATGTGACTGGAGGCTCGCCTGAAGCCAACGAGCGAGTGAGGAAAGTGGTAAGTCCTATCCATCATTCCTAGCAGCACGTGCATTTCTCCTTCTCTGGTCTCAGTCGGTCACTGTCTATCAGGGAAGTGGGAGTCCCCAAGAAGTTCTGACGGTTTGAATGGCTGGAAGGCAAATGTGACTGAAATGAGGAAGAAACATCTTACAATGCGTTCATGAATGGAGAGATTGGAAAGGCGATGGATTGAGTGTGAATCTGAGATGGTTGGAAAGGAGTGGCAGGTGACATCATTTGCTAGAGGGAGAGGAAGGAAGAGTGAGCTTACGAGTGAGCATTGCAGGGTGGCAGAGGATGGAAAAGGTGGGGAGGGAAAGCGAGGGAGAGAGAGTAATTATGTATGGTTTAAGGGTACATTACTGCAAAGTCGCGTCTCAAAAGGAGGCGTCACAAGTCAGTGAAACCTCCAGGTCAATTGTTTGCACAGCACTGTGACTTGACTTTGTGACGCGAGGTTTTTGAGACGTGTGCCAGGAATGCACCCTAATAGGTGTGCCACGCCTCTCCAATTTTCCATCCAATCTGTTGCTTTTGTTTTCCATGCAACCATACCTAATGATGCCCTAGTCAATCACTTGCACTCTTGCATCTTCGTTTTCACCTTTCCCACGTTCTGTGCCTGCCTCCCCATTTCGCCCCCTTCATCAACAGCTTGCAAGGGAGAGGGAGCGGTTGCAATCAAGACTACAGCAAAGTGCCTAGTCTTGCCATTTCTGATAATGATTTGGCTGCCTGTTGATGCATTGCTGTATTGTATCAAATTGGGCTTAGATAGTGTTTCAATCGCATCAAAGGTTAACCACTGAACTGTCCTGGCAGTGGGGGGGTAATGAGCTGATGCATGACTAGAGATGCCAATTTTGACCAAGTCTGATGGGCACCTCATGCCCAATAGTGTTTCTGGCGTTCTGAAGAGCGAGCAAGTGTTACTGATAATTGAACCACATTCATGTGGGATACCGTACCAGTAACAACGATTGGGCTCTAACCGCAAGGCTCCCCCTTCATTCCAGGCTGCCGCAGAAGTCAGGCAGGTCAACTATCTGGATTCTGGGAATCTGTGCTGCATCTTGCCTCTCCTGCTCTGTGTTGTAGCCCCATGTGCCTACAAGAACAAGAAGTTACATGTGTTGAGTGAGATCAACAGTTGGGGAGGATGGGCTAAGACACACCGCCTGAATCATTTTGCGACAGGAGAGCTGTCGTAGAGAAGAGAAGAGCCGAGACTGAGCAATCAGTGTGTCAGTGACAGCACCAAGCATGCGGACAACCGTACCTAGGTACAGATGCCAGCCATCCAATTGTGGTGTGCTGATGACATTGCGCAGCGTGGCTAGTCGATCCTCCACAAAGCTGCCATGGAATCAGCACAACTACGGGTGAGGCAAGCATGAGAGTTGTGAGGAGGCACGCATTCTGCTGCTGAAAACCACCAAGACAAAACGGCGGGAACCTTCGAGCCAGATTCGAGGAAAAGCAATGGGTGGAAACATGAAAATTTGTATGGAAAGGGGTGACGCACTGAAAGGAGCAGCCTTCATGTTGAGGGAGCGACTGCAGGTGTTGCAGTGTCTGCACTTTGGGCCTGGAAGAGACAAGGGAGCGAGGCAGGGCCAGGCATTATAGGACCCCTAGGTGTGGAGGATTAGGATTGGATGGACGGGAGGCTGTTTCCCAGCCTAGAGGAGTGGGAGAAAGTACAAGGCATGGTGCAAGCATGTGGGAAGGATGGGCATGTATAGGAAACCGTGACGCATAAGGCCAGGTGACGATACCTGTTGTTACATAAGGCCAACACATAAGGCTTTTTATGCTCTTCTGCCCACCCATAAAGATTGCGAGAGTGTACTACCCACCCAACAGGTCCCTCTCCCACAAGCTGTCCATAGTCCTTAAGCCAGTACCCATCCCTGTTGGGTTGTGTCTATAGTACCTGACACCACTCACCCGGTACCAAGCCCGAAGACCTTGTCTTCTGGGAAATTAACGCCCGCTAATTCGCGCAGCAGCGCAAGGGCAAATCGGGTCTGGGAGCACATGGAGGGGCGCACAGGGAGGGGCGCACAGAGAAGGTAAAGATTCTTGGAGTTTTTTTATATATATATACAAGGCTTGGATTAGCGGCCTGCATGAAGCAGGGATGCGCTGAAGGTACTCTGGCACGGTTGTTAACGTGGCAAACCCAACTGGTGGCGGCACAACGAAGTGGAAACACACAGAGCAAGGTAGCGGATGTGCGAGGGGGGGGGGGGGGGGAGGTGTGTGCAGGTGTGCATGCATGCAAGCGAGGAGCTTGGTCTGGTGTAAGTGGGGGGAGGAAGTGTTGTGCTGTGAGCATAGAAGACAAAGACACACCTGCTTTGTGGTGACTATATACAACGGAGACTCTGCCTTCTGAAGTGCCTCAGGCACGCCGGCATACATGGCATTGGCGGCAATCCACCCAGGCAGGTCGTGGCGCATCCACTCGTCCCTCACCGCCCCAAACAGCTCCACTAGCTCCTCCCTCCGCCCCTCCTCGCCCCACTCCGCCATCACTGCTGGCTTGATCTCCCCCTCCCACCCGCTCAGGATCGCCTGTAGGTTGAGTTTGCCTGACTTGGACAGCTGATGAGAGAGAAGCGAGGGGAGTGAGGGGAGCAATGGTAGAGAGGGAAGCGAGGGGAGTGAGGGGAGCAATGGTAGAGAGGGAAGCGAGGAGAGTGAGGGGAGCAATGGTAGAGAGGAGAGTGAGGGGAGTGATGAGAGCCACGCCAGCGCCAGGAAGGAATGCGTGGAAGTTTCTAAAGAAATAGGAATGTGCATGTGCATGTGCATGTGCATGCGAATGGCATGTGGATGTAAATGTCTAGGTGCATATGTATGTGCATATGAACATGAACATGCTCATTGCTTCTCCTAATTCACTCACCCAACTTGACTTCACACGTACAAAGACTCATTGTCGTTTTCATGTTACAGTTCTTTTCACCTGAGACTACCTTCTGTGCCTTTCACCTGGGACTGGCGCTTGTCTTCACATGCCATCTCCAGCAGCAGACGCACCAGCAGAATGTTCTCATACCCCGTCTCCACCACAGGCCGCACCTGCAGTGAATGGGTTCACACACATTGGGGGCATGCTCACACCATCACATCATTCTCATGCTTAGCCATTTCACAAGCTCAGATTCTCACATGCTTGGGTTCTCACATTCCCGCGTTTTCGGAATAAGAAGCAACTACACCAGCTGCACTCCTGCCCTGGCTGCACCACACCAAGTGATGCCGACGTCATGTGCATCATGAGAGGCGAGAGCCTCTGGCAACCGGTCCCCTAGATCCCTCCCTCCCTCCCTCCCTCCCTCCACCAAAGGCCCTAGCCAAGGCTCACAGCCAAGTTCCTCTCAATCACAAATCAGTTCTTCAGTCAGCGCCAGGTCTGCTGACGCCTGAACGTTCCACATCACTCCTCCTCACCTCGCCTCACCTCGCCTCACCTCTCTCATCTGCTTCAGAATCGTCCCCTCCACGTCAGCAGACACGTCAGCAAAGAGTGACGGCCACCGCAACTTGGCTGCCTGGGGTGAGCACATGGCGTGTCGGCAAGCTCGAAAGAAGGGGGGGAAAGGGGAAGTGGGGGTTGATTGGGTGAATTGTGGATAGTTGTGGAGAATGGCAAAAGGGCTGTTTTAGTCAAGCTGTATACTGTCACTCATTCGTACGCTCGTTACAGTCACCTCATACACCGTTACTCACTCCTCTGCTCTTCGCAATCACCCCACACAGGTCACCTCCCCTCGAAATCTCATCATCTCCTCGCATCTCTTTGGATTCATCTGACCTGCGATTTCCCTCGCCTCGACTCATTACCAGACGTCGATCCGCGCTACCTCCCTCGGGATCGCCGCGCCTCACCTTCACGGCGGACAGCGAGCTCTCTCCGCAACTGTCGCACAGAACGCCGTCGAAATCCAGAGCGTACACGTGGCGATCCATGGTTGGGTCGCTGGTCCGCAAGGAGCAGCGGGCTAGCCCGCGGCGAGAGTGACGGCACCGAGCGGAAGAAACGGCGACGGTTGAGGGAGGCAGGCGAATAGACGAAGCAGCGGGGAAAGCGGCAAGCCGCGACCTGGATACGCAAAGTTCCGGAACGGCTGATTGGCTACCAGGCAATCGCGCTCGCGGGGGCGAACAAGAAGATGCAGCAGGCGGTGAAAACGCCTTTCCGGCGCAAAGTGCGCTGCTGGTCGCGGGCATGATCGCAGCGCAATTGAGAAGTTCAGGTGGAAGAGGGGGTGGCAAGCGTTGATAGTAGAGAATGGCCTCGAGAATGCCGCTTGTGCCTCGATCCGTCGCAAACTCAGGACGCGGCACCTGTTTTCATTTTACAAGGATCGTGGCCTCACATCGATCCTGGCATATCGATCGGCACACCGATGTGCCCACACTGCAAATTTGCAGTGGGGTAGACACATCGAGCTATAGGTGCCTGGATCGAAATTGCAGGCTCGGGCAGGTTGGAGCTGCCATTACACTTCAACGCGCAGCCAATCAGGGCAGAGCGTGGATGGTCGTCCAGCAATTCCATTCGCAGCGACTCAAGAATTTTTGGCCTGCGACCGTGGGCGACGCCGATCGATCGAGGCTGTCACCTGTGGCGCGATATGCTCTCCCGCCAACCCTAACGCATGCACCACGGCACATCGATCGTGCGAGCTGCAGGTGCCACCAATTTGGTTACCCGTTTACTGTACATTATCGACGTTCAGCGAAAAACGGATACCAGGCATTGGCGTGTCGCAAATACACTGTACAAGCTGCACATCGATCCCTCACACGATCGATCCTGGCAAAATGAAAACAGGTGCCGCGTCCTCATTTGAGTGTCATATTCTGTCTCTGTGTCCTGTACGGTTGCAATGCAACGAGGACGGGGTTTGCACTGCTACAGTGATACTTGAACTGAAAACGAACCAGGCCTGACCCGCCCTGAGGAATGACAGAGTTGAATGTCATGTGTATTGTTGGGAGTCTCGACATTCAAGGAACGCGCTCTCAAATCTGCAGATTGAGCATCTAGAGTTGAGGTTTTCCAGCCGTCAGATTGTTCTTGAGGTTTTCAGAAACCTTGAAATCTGCTCCATTTCCGTAGGCAATTTTCTAGTCTAGGGATTGCTTACTTGGATCGGTTCTCAGTTTAGGCTTCTCGCGACGACAGATACGGTTTGTCATCATACGGTTTGTTAAGCTGCATGCGAGGACCGTTGAGTTCCATCCCGCTGCTCGGACTCGACCCTGAAGTCCCATAGCTGGAGACATACTTACGTCGGTGAAGGCGTCGCGATAAGGAATGAGCAGCGGCGACGGCAATCAGGCCGGCGGCGCGGGTCGAGGAGGAGGAGGGGGAGGAGGAGGAGGACCCGTGCCGTCTTCGGGATTTCCGTCTGCCGGCCGGCCCATGGGCATGGGCGCGCCGCCGTCCACGTCAGGCTATGCGAGCGCGCCTCCGCCTCCCATGGGGATGCGAGCCATGCCCCCGCCAGGTATTGACGCCGCGATTAATTAGTTTGTATCTCTTTTCCCCTCATTAATTCTCGACTTCCGCTCGCCTTAGATCTGTAGAATGTTTGCGTAATTCAGTTTTATGCTCACCGTGATTCGAAGAGAAGGGGACGGGAAGGAAACCCTAATATGGGGAACCGAGCGCTGCTCTTTCTCTTTGCACACAGTCACGCGTCCATATGGATGAGTGGTGGTGCTGATGCTGCCATGCCGACTCAACTCCTTCAAACCCACATGACGGTATGTCTTTTGCTTAGATCGTCTGGTCGTTCTGCCCCCCCCCCCCTGTCCCTTCCAACCGTTCTCGTTCTCCCCCAACGTCTCCTGATCATCTCGTCATCTCCCTCCTCGTCATCGTCTCCTTCTCGTCTCCTGTCCGTCTTCTCATCTCGTCGTACACCCCTTGTCTCTTCTCTCTCCTCCGTTTTGTCACCTCTCCGCACCTCCCCGCACCGTTCTCTCCTCCACCGTTCCTCACCGCGCCCCACTCCTTCCTCCGTGCCCTAAAGCACCGTCACATCAGCTAGTGTTCAGTCTGAACGCTCTTTGCATGAGTAGCGTGTTGAAGACTTGTGTAATCACGCACAAGCCAAAGAACACGCTAATAGCGTCCTTAGTGCATGGAAGGAGCAGTGAGCTGTCTGTCCAAGCCAGGCCAGGCCCGCTGTTTCCGTTACGATTTCAAAGGCAAAAGGCGAAGCATTGAGCTGAGGTACTTACGTGCTTGCCAAGGGGGGATGAGCCCTCTGCCAGCTCGTGACTGGCAAGCGCATGCGGGAATGCGAGCAGACAGCGGGACACTCACCTACACTGATTTTCCGGTAAGAGGGGCTCTTGTCAGGTGTCAGGGTTTTGGACATCCTATTGTGGGTGTTTTGCGTTTATGAGCCACTTGCGATTGTGGGAAGAAGTGCTGCATGCACCAAGAAGAGTGATTCACCAGTCCATGACAGGCTTTCACGCAGGCGGGAAGAGGCATGCACCCAGACAGGCAGACAGGCAGGCAGGCAAATAGATTCCTGATTATCGGGTGAGCTGGGATTATGAGTTGGTGGGTCGTGTATGGCGAGCAGCTTTGCATCCACATGTGGTAGTAAAATTGTTAATTTATGTGCACGCAATGTTCATTCACAAACGGTACTACTCATTCGCATACAATAATGTTAAATATCAACAGTGGTATTCATCGTCTGCAATGGTAATCTTCTTTTGCATACAATAAAATCCATTTGCATATGCGAGAAAGTCCTTGTATATGGTGTTGTTGATGGTATAATCTGCTATACAATTTGTGAGTTTTAATTCTTGTGAATCCGTGGACTGTTATATTCCTTCTTACCCCCTTCCTCCTCTCCCCTCTTCTGTCCCCCATCTCCTCCCTCCCACTCCCCTCTCCTCCCGGTTCCCCCCAACCCCCTCCCCCCACCAGGCATGCCAATGCATCACTTCATCTTCATGCGCCCACCCCCGGGAGCCCCAATGCACCACTTCCGCCCGCCCCCCGGCGCCTCCCCCCTCCCTTTCCCCTTCCCGGGAATGCCCCGCGCGCCCAGCCCCTTCCCCCACGCGCTGGCGCGTCCGCCCTCCCTCCCCCCGCCCAACATGCGCCTCCCCGCGCCCCCGCACGGGGGAGGCGCGCCTCTGAGCTCGTTTCTGGCTGCTGCTGCGTTGAGGGGAGGGGCAGGCGCGGGGGGAACTGGGGGAGCGGGGGGGGAGAAGGCGCAGACGACTGTGTATGTGGGGAAGCTCGCGCCCTCTGTTGATGACACGCTGGTGGTTAAGCTGCTGGAGGTGAGGGCTAGTGGGAGGGTTGGGGGGAGGGGGAAGGGAGGGGAGGGGATGGTTTGGTCGAAGAGTAGAAGGGTGGGGGGGGGAGAAGGTGCAGACGACTGTGTATGTGGGGAAGCTCGCGCCCTCTGTTGACGATACGCTGGTGGTGAAACTGCTGGAGGTGAGGCGGGTGGGGGGAAGGGGGGAGTGCGGGAGGTTGAGGGGGAGGGGGAGAGGGGAGAGAGTATAGGGGAGAGGAGAGAGGAGAGAGGAGAGAGGAGAGAGGAGAGAGGAGGAAGGGAGGGGAGGGGAGGGGAGGGGAGAGGGAAGTAGGCAGGAGAGAGGAAAAAGGAATGGGAGGGCGCAAATGGATGACCTTAAATGTGGAAACCGTGGTGGCTGCTTTTCTTTCTGTTAGACTATTGCAAGTGAAGGTCACCAGTGGGAAAAAGGAGGCGGCGAGGTGGAGAGAAGAGGGCCGGGAAGGGGGGAGGGGGAGAGGGGATTGGGGGGGGAGGATACCCAGAATGCCCTCTTCCATGTGTCATCCTCTTGTAGCCCACGCTACCGCCATCCCTCCATCCATACCATACAATACTTGCTTGGAGTGGACCTCGCGTCCACAAGACCCCTCAGGAGCTGCAATCGAGCCACAGCCCACTCCACTCCACTCCATGCCCCACTCCACTCCACTCCATGCCCCACTCCACTCCACTCCATGCCCCACTCCACTCCTTGGGGCAGTGGCCGTGGCTCCAAGGATTACTCTCGAGTTGAGCCCAACTGTCAACATGCTGCCGCCATCCCCTCTTCACTCCTCTCTCCCCCCCAACCCGCTCCCCCCATTCGTATCTCCCCAACTCCCACTCTGCCTCCCCCATTCCACACCCCCCCCCCCCCCCCCCGGTCCCTCCAGCTGTGCGGGCCGCTGAGGAGCTGGAAGCGGGCGGCGGAGCGGACCCCCTACCTGTGGCTGCCCCGAGTGTGACACTTTAGTCCATGCATACATACATGCACGTAGCACCAACTCACCGCTCTTTACCCTCCACCCGGCACCCTCCCGCTCCCTCCTTTTCCGCCTCCAATCAGCTGTGCGGGCCGCTGAGGAGCTGGAAGCGGGCGGCGGACCCCACGAGCGGCAGTCCCAAGGGGTTTGGGTTCTGCGAGTTTGAGACGGCTGATGGGGTGCTGCGCGCCCTGCGCCTGCTCAACCGCCGCCAGATCGATGGGCAGAACCTGCTGGTGGGTGCTGTTGGGGATGTGCGAGCCTGCTGGCTGGGGGGTTGTGAACCTTCGAGTGGGTGCTGTTGCTGGGGTTGATCTAGCTGGTGGTGTGTGTTGCTGGTGGCCAATGGGGTGCTGCGTGCCCTGCGCCTGCTCAACCGCCGCGAGATCGATGGGCAGAACCTGCTGGTGGGTGCTCTTATGTGCAGTGATGATGTGGTGTGAACTTGCTGCTGCGTGCCCATCCACACCCAGCTTGTAATTGGGCGCGAGCTAGTGTAAGTCCATGATGCTTGCTCTTCCTCCTCCTTCCCTCCCCTTCCCCCTCTCCCCTATCCCCCTGCCTCTTTTCCCTGTCTCCTCTCTTACCTGCCTACTCCCCGCCCCCATTTTCCATTTCCACCTCCCCCATTTCCGCCTTCCACACAACCCCAACCGCATGTTGGCAGTTGAACGTGAATGCAGCCACGAGGGAGTACCTAGAGCGGGTGGTAACTTCCAGGAAAGCCTCCTTTGCCGCCCTCGAAGCTTCCCGGAAAGGGGTGGCTGATCAGGGCAGGAAGGCTGGAGGGGAGGGTGGGGCCGACGGGGAAAAGGCGAATGGGAAGGACGAGACGAGTGAGGAGGCTGATGGGGTGAAGGCAGGGGAAGCGGGAGGGGAGGCGAAGAAAGATGAGGAGGGGAAGGGAGGGAGCAAGGAAGAGGGCAAGGATGAGAAGGATGAGGAGGGAGAGGAGAAGGAAGAGGAGGAGAGGAGGAAGGAGGAGGAGGAGGAGGCGAAGGTGTTTGGGCTGGTGACGCCTGAAGATAAGGACAAGGATGAGGCTGCTCTGGCGAAGCTTAATGGCATGCTGCAGGAGAGGTAAGAATGGGTGCAGAGAGGTAACAGATGGGTGGAGAATGGTGAAGGGGTGGGTGTGGAGGGCTGAGGGTCCAATTTCAAAAAAAAAGGTTTAGAGTGAGTGCTGGTCTTGTTGTACTGTCCAGTTATTTGGGGTTGTGATGGCTGAGTGGACTTTGCCCTGCTGACGCCCCCATCTGTTTGCCCTGTCGTACCTCTCCTTTTCTTGATTCCCCTTCTCTTGATTCTCCTTGTCTGCTGTGCTCTGCCTGCATGTGTCCCTCTGCAGGGCGAAGCTGCTGCCACCACCACCGCCACCGCCTCTCAAGGATGCGAGCAAGGAGAATGACACGTCTGCTGCTGGTGGGTGCTGTGCTTGTGTCGGTGATCACAAAACAACACACTCTTTGCTGGGTTTTCAGAGAGATTGTGTGTGGCTGCGTACGTGTGATGGCATGTGTTTGGTGTGTGTGATCTTGCACGCTTGCTAATGTTGTTTTTGCCACTCATAACTGCTTCCCAGTTTGGCACTGCACTAACCATCAGTTTGCCTTATATATGTTGTTATCTTTTTCTTCGTTTCCGATTTTTTTTTGTATTTTTTGTTTTCCCTTCTGTTTTCCACTTCCGTGACTGCATATCGGTTATTTCCATGTGTTATACTCCTCCAGAATCAAGTGAACAAGGTGACGGGCACAGACGGGAGGGCAGAAAGAGAGAGAGGGAAGATGCTGATTCTGACGATGATGCTGGCCACGAGCGGTCCCGGCACAGAGACAGGGAGAGAGACAGGGAGAGGGACAGAGACAGGGAGAGAGACAGGGGGGATGAGCACGATAGGGAGAAGGAGAGAGACGGGGAGAGGGAGCGGGAGAAACCGCGCGAGCATAAGAGTGCCAAGGAGTGGGAGAAGGAGAGGGAGCAGCGGGAGAAAGAGCGGGAGGAGAGAGGCAAGGAGAGGGAGTATGAGCGACTGGAGCAGAGGAGGGAGAGGGAGAGGGGACGCAGGGAGCGAGACAGGGAGATGAACCTGAGAGAGCTTGATAGACTGTGTGATCAGAGGGAGAGAGAGATGGAGAACAAGGAGAAGGAGAAGGACCGGGCTAAGGCGTATGAGAGAGAGCGAGAGAGAGAAGCGGAGAGGGAGCGGCGGGCGCTGATTCGGCAGCAGGAGGAGGAGGACAGTGAGGAGGAGGAGAGGATTTATAGGAGGAGGGTGAGGGATGGGTATTGGGAGGAGAGGAGGCGGGTAAGGGCGAGAGAGGAGGAGGAGGATGCGAGGGACAGGGAGAAGGAGGAGAGGGAGAGGGAGGAGGCGAAGGAGAGGGAGGAGCAGCAGAGGAGGGAGGCAGTGGCGTTTGTGAGCGAGGTGGTGGGGGAGGCCAGTGTGCTGCTGGGAGGCCAAGCTGCTGGTGCAGCAGGTGCGGAGGCAGCAGCACCGGGGGGTATGGCGGGTGATGAAGGTGGGGTGGGTGGTGCAGACGGAATTGGAGCAGGCGGGTTGATCAAGAGCGAAGCGACCAATGGGTTTGCTTCAGCAGCAGAAGCAGCAGCGGATACCGAAGCAGCAGAAGTACCTGCCAGTGCTGCAGCCCCAGCATCACCACCTGCGCCTGCACCCCCGCCCCTCCCCGAAGTGAAGATCTCTCTGCCCAGTCTCGCAGACCTCCTGCCGTCCCTCCACCCGCCTTCTGCCGCTCCTATTGCAGCGGCTGGTTCCCCTGGAGGGGCGCAGGCAGGGCAGGTGGCGGGAAGCGAGGGAGCAGGGGGGTCGCAGCAGGGAGGGAGGGGCAGGGAGTCGGAGGTGGATGCGCTGGTGCGAGCCGTGGCTGCCCATGCCAAGGACAGAGAGGGTCGAGCAGGTAAGGAACTTTGGGTTGCCTGTGTATGTAGCATGGTATGGCTGGCAGCACTGTTGATTCTGCAACCTAGCAGGGTGGGAAGGGTAGGGAGTCGGAGGTGGATGCGCTGGTGCGAGCAGTGGCTGCTCATGCCAAGGACAGAGAGGGCCGCGCAGGTACGGTTCTATGAGTTGGGTTTGTGGCATGCCAGGTTTGGCAGCCGTGCTGGTTTCTTAGAATCATAAAGAAACAACTAGAAGGGTGGGCGGGGCAGGGAGGGAGCGGCAGGTAGATAGTCGGAAGCGGCCGCACGGATGCAAGCAGTGGCTGTGCATGCCAAGAACAGGGAGGGGCGTGCAGTACTATATTTTGTGAACTTGCCCCGGTTGGCAGTGGTGCAAAGGTGTAGCAAGGGGTAAGGCCGTGGGAAGAAGGAAGGGCTGTCCTGCTTGGGATTGCACTTTCCAACTCACAGTTTTCCACCACCTCTGCTTGCCCAGTCTGCGTGCTTCTGTTGCTTTCACCATCCTGTTTTTTTCACCCCATCCCTCTTTTTCTCACCACCCGATTTCTCCACTCCTACTCGCGTCCCTCCTACCAACCCTCTCCCATCGTTTACTCTGAAAAAGCAGCGGGCCACGCACCACCCCATGTACCACCCGCAGCAGCAGCACCAGCTGAGGCAGCAGCACCAGCACCCGAAGCAGCATCAGCAGACGCAGCAGCGGCAGCGTCACCAGCGGAACCAGCAGCAGCATCCCCAGCGCCACCATCCCAGCCAGCCGCCACCACCGCAGCCCGCCCCTCCACCGCACCCACCCGCGCCCCAGCACCCGCACCGTCCAAGAAGTCGCGCACGCTGGCATCGGTGTTCGGGGCAGAGGAGGACGAGGAGGAGCTGGCACGCAAGAAACTTCGCCCTCTCGTTCCCATCGACTATGACGATGGGGGTAGCGATGGTGCTGCTGGCACTGCTGCTGCTGCTGCCGGTGGTGGTGGGCATGGGGGTTCCTCTCTCGCCCCCCCAGCTGCTGCTGCTGCTGCTGCTGCTGCTGGTGCAGGAGGTCTGGCGGCCAGCATTGCTGCGGCGGCTGAGTTTGCCAAGCGACTGTCGCAGGGAGGCGGGGCGGGCAAGGAGGAGGAGAGGAGGAGGAGCGGAGGGGGAGAGGCGGGTGCAGGTGGGGGAGAGAAGGCGAAGGCGAGACCGAAGGCGGTGGTGGATGTGAAGTCGCTGATCGACTCCATTCCCAAGAGCAAGGACGAGCTCTTTGCCGTTCCCATCAACTGGACCGTCTATGATGAGGTGAGCCCATCAACTGGACCGTCTATGATGAGGTGAGCCCATCAACTGGACCGTCTATGATGAGGTGAGCCCATCAACTGGACCGTCTATGATGAGGTGAGCCCATCAACTGGACCGTCTATGATGAGGTGAGCCCATCAACTGAACCGTCTATGATGAGGTGAGCCCATCAACTGGACCGTCTATGATGAGGTGAGCAGACCTGGGGCTTGGTTGTGCTGTGGTGAGCTCGTGACAAGATGAGATGAGGCCATGATGTGATTGACTCCTGCTTCCCGCTTCCCCTTCTATCATTTCCATCATCGCTCGGACTGCACAGCAACAGCACATGCGCCCTCAACACCCATCCTCTTTCAAGCCCCACCAATTGGCTCAACGCTCATCCCCCCCCCATTAGCCCAACGCTCCTCCCCCACCATTAACCCAACGCTCCTCCCCCCCCCCTCCCCGATTAACCCAACACTCCTTCCCCCCCCGCCCCCCCCACTAACCCAACGCTCCTCTCCCAGAGTGCACTGTACCAGCGCATGAGGCCATGGGTGGAACGTAAGATCCAGCTGTTCCTGGGGATTCTTTCTCACCACCCTCGCCCTCTCCCCTCTCCTTCTCTTGTTGCTCCCCTCAGAGCGCCCTGCACCAGCGCATGCGGCCGTGGGTGGCACGGAAGATCCGGGAGTTCCTGGGGGAGCCCACGCTGGGCTCGTCGACTTCCCCTCACCACCCTCACCCGTTCCCGTCTCCTTCTCTTGTCTCCCCACGCCCCCTTGTACCATCTCCACCCAACGTTCCTCCCTCAGAGCGCCCTGCACCAGCGCATGCGGCCGTGGGTGGCACGGAAGATTCAGGAGTTCCTGGGGGAGGAGGAGCCCACCCTGGTGGACTTCATTCTCTCCAAGACGCAGCAGCACGTGGGCGGGGCGGCGCTGCTGGGGCTGCTGGAGCCGATACTGGACGAGGAGGCGGAGATGTTTGTTCTCAAGATGTGGCGCATGCTCATCTTTGAGATCAGGCGCGTTGAGATGGGGCTCACTGGGAAGGCTGGCGCTAAGTAGATCGCGGGAATGTAGTGATTGATAATGCTGTTGTGAAATTATTGTGTTGGATGGATGTTCTGACATTCAGAAGTGGGAAGCTGTAGTGATTCTTGATGTGTCTGTTACTTGATGCCAGATCAGAGAGGACAACGGATGAGCCGGACAAGGTACTACGCTCCCTCTCTCCTCTATCTCCTCTCTCTGCTCCCTCTCGCCCCTTTCTCCTATCTCTCTCTCCCCTTTCTCCTCTCTCCCCTCCCCTCTCTCGACCCTCACTCTCGTCCCTCTCACCTCAATCTCCCCTCTCTCCTTTCTGGCCCCTGTGATCTCTCTACTGCACCCCTCTTCTGCTACGGTCATAAATTTACAAGTACGCTAAACTTTTCATCCAATGTGCCAGTGGTCTAGTGGTAGAATAGCACCCTGCCATCTGTTCGGTGCAGACCCGGGTTCGATTCCCGGCTGGCACAGGATACGCTTTTGTCCGTCAGCTGTCATATTCTGTCTCATTGTAGTTCGCATTTCTGTCATATGGTAGGTTTTCGGGGCTGGAAAATCCACGACATTTCCGCATTGGCTCGCATTTTCTTGTTCGCTGCAGAGCCATTCTCAAATCCGCTTCATCGTCAACGATTTACTAAGTCTCACGCTCTGCTGCCTTTTCTGCCCTCCTTCCTCATTTCCTCTTCCGAGATTGCGTCCACGAAAAGACGATAGGGGGAACAAGTCTGACAAACACAACATTTCCTGTTCTTCCTCCTTCTCCTCTTAATAGCCGTTTCTCGCTTTGCCTTCTTCCGCCTTCAATCATAAGTGACCCTAATAGCGTCACCGTACGCGCTTCGACCAATGTGAAGGATCTCAAAGCGCGCCGACTGTCCCAAAGAGCAAAATCGGGATAACACGGATAGTCTCGACCGATCAGGCGTCGACATGGTGAGGGTAGTTGTAGAATGCGGAGTGGAGTGTGGTTCCTCCCTCCCTGTCGCGTGTGGTTCCTCCCTCCCTGTCGCGTGTGCTTCCTCCCTCCCTGTCGCGTGTGCTTCCTCCCTCCCTGTCGCGTGTGCTTCCTCCCTCCCTGTCGCGTGTGGTTCCTCCCTCCCTGTCGCGATCCGTAGAGTGTACCTGTAGAGTGCGAGCAGTACCACGCGTATCTTACTCAGAGCGATACGATTCGCGTGTTGACCAGTGCTAGCAGGCGCACCCCTCATGCCTGGCACTTCACTCACCCCATACCACTCTGCACCCCTGGGAACTGCAGGTGTACCACTCATCCTACACGCATTTGGAGGGTGTGGAGTTTGCATGCGGTTGCCCCTTGCTGCCGCTCAAAGCCACCGCCAGAGGACCCACTCACAACACCTCCACTGGTAACCACCTTTCGCCCAACGCCTCCACTGGTAACCACCTTTCGCCCAACGCCTCCACTGGTAACCACCTTTCGCACAATGCCTCCACTGCTAACCACCTTTCGCACAATGCCTCCACTGGTAACCACCTTTCGCACAATGCCTCCACTGGTAACCACCTTTCGCACAATGCCTCCACTGGTAACCACCTTTCGCACAACGCCTCCGCGTGCTCACAACACAGGGCTTTGGGAGTTCAAACAACGAGAGATCAGAAGGAGAGAAAGAGAACAGCGAAGTTACTGCCATTCGATCCATCGCTCTTGTCTCCGAAGAGCCATCCATTCATCTCTCACTCCATTGCCTGTCCTTCCGAGGTCAAAACCATCTCTCTCACATTTCTGACTCACCCCACCCCACCCCACCCCACCCCACCCCACCCCACCATCCGGAGGAGACAGACATAGTGGACAAAGCAATCACCCTCTTTCGAGCCACTTCCCATAAATCCCTTCCACTCCTTCGACTCACTCGCCCATAACCTCCCGCCGCCTCGCCCTCCCCTCACTCACCCAGAGGAGACGGACATAGTGGACGAGGCAATCACCCTCTTTCGAGCCAGCATGCTGAGAGTCCTTCTCGTTCGTCCCTTCTTCTCAATACCCAACCCACCCCTACACCCCCAACCCCCACCCTCACTCATCCAGAGGAGACGGACATAGTGGACGAGGCAATCACGCTCTTCCGAGCCAACGTGCTGTTCCGCCGCTTTGACATCCGCGGCCCAGCGGACAAGCTGCTGGTCTACCTCACGCTTTACATCAACATGGCTCTAAAGCGCATCGACTCCTGCCCCTCCGAGGCTGAGGGTATTAGACTGCTCATCAACCTGGGATTGGAGCCTTTTCCTATTCCGGGCGACCCAGGATTCCCCCTCGCTGGCTTGTTTGCCACACCGACCAGTCGCCTGGAAGCAGGTGCGTGGCGTGGCTTGTGATGTGAGTCGACTCAAAGCTCATCAACCTGGGGTTGTCAGCTTCTGGGGTTGCAACATGGGATTGCAGCCCCTCCCCATCCTGGGCAATCCCAGCTTCCTGCTTGCTAGCTTGTTTGCTGCGCCCTCCACCCGCCTGGCCTGGATGCAGATGCGTGGGGCCACAAAGCCTCTCCTGATCACTCTCCCCAGCCAACTTTATGTGTGGAGATTTTTCTAATGCCTCAAAAGCTGTGGGGATTTATTTTTACCTGCACTTGAATCTCCACACATGCCTCCCACTCTCTACCCTCCCCCCTCCACCGCCTCCCCCTTCCACCCCCTTCCCCTCCCTCCCTCCTCCTCCCGGAACAGAGACTGTAGACGCACTTGCGCCTTCTTACAACCCCCAGCTATCCTCCCCTGACCCCTAACCCTTGTGATTTCCCCTCTCTCCGCAACAGAGATGCTACGGACGTACCTGCAGAGTGTGAGGGAGGAGACGAGCAACCGGCTGCTGCAGCTGGTGTACCTGCCCTTACCCTCCCCTCAACCCCACCCCTTCCTCCCCCTCACTTCCCTCTCTCCCCGGACCAGAGACGCTGCGGACGTACCTGCAGAGTGTGAGGGAGGAGACGAGCAACCGGCTGCTGCAGCTGGTGTATCTCCCCGACGGCTCGCCCAACAAGTGGTGGCTCTCCTTCAGCAAGCGCAAGTTCATGAACGTTGCCATGCCCCTCTGACGAGACCATACACTCGTGATGAATGCCCCATCCCCCTCCCACCATGCATGGCTCATCCATGTCATCTTAGTACGGTATTAATACCCCGTGACCACACCTGCAATTTGTTTTCAAGTCTTGGCTGTTTGTACAGAGTGCAATTTTAAACCAAGCCAGGCCCATGGACTCATCTTGCCTCTTAAAGCCCGAGTACAGCATGGTATTTTTCAAGTTCAAGATTCTTGAACTTGAAGTCGTAAAAAACAGGGTTACCCTCTTTTGTTTGAAAGAACTCTCGCGACCCAGGGAAAACTTAGTGCGACGGTCACTTCTGATTGGTTTCTGTGCCCAGTCGCACAACACATCCGAACATCGCCTACCATGTTGCTGTGGTCACCTCTCATATAACTTGACGACCAAGTGGTACTCCTAATCCACTAGAGTAGGCACGTAACTAAGAAACGCGCGACAGGGCGATAAAAGCTAGTTTAGGTAGAAGCGTTTTTTTCCTTCCAGCTCTCGTCACTCCCGCTGTCTTGCCAATAGCTGAGGAGCACCCGCTTCTTGCCAAACACGCTATTACCGTACCATTTTTGCATGCCAGCGACGGGACACCCGTTCTAGTGCACCACAGTCATGGGTCGGCTAAGGCTGCTGGTTACCTCCAATACAACGCCCGTAATGCATTGGCCAGCATAGCATGGCCCGCCCAACAAAAACTTGGCTTCAGTCCGCCTTCAGGCGTCATCCTCGCCTCGTCCAGACTCCCACACTTAGTATGTGGCGAGTGCATCACCTCATCGCCCGTGCTTCCCTAGCGATTCCCTCAACCCCACGTTACGAGAGCTTCTGCACTCGCGCATGCCCTCGTCGCCCGCGCGTCCCTCGTCGCGCAATGTTTCCCTCGTCGCAAGCGTTTCCCTCGTCACGCCAGCTTGTCCTTGTCTCCCACGCTCACCCGCGCTTCCCACGCTTACCCACGTTTCCCGCGCTCTCCAGCGACACCCGCGCTTACCTTCGTCACCCGCGCTTACCCGTGTCATCCCCACTTACCCGCGCTTATCCGCGTTTCCCGCGCTTACCCGAGGTCACCCGCGCTTACCCGCATCATCACTGCCCGCGTCTCGCACTCTTTCCCGCGTGTGAAACGCTTACTCGAGTCTCCCGCACTTACCCTCGTCTCTTGCGTTGCTCCTCAACGCCCTCGCCTCAGTTTCCCCCATCCACACGCATCTCCCCTTATCGCCCATGTCTACCCAAGTCGCCACTCCCCGTCGTTAGCGAAGGCCCCCACACACCACGCGCATTCTCCCCACTTGTCCGCCTCCTTTCCCCCCCACACACTACGCGCATTTTCCCCCACTTGTCCGCCTCCTTTCCCCCCCTCACACCACGCGCATTCCCCCCACTTGTCCGCCTCCTTTTCCCCCCCTCACACCACGCGCATTCCCCCCACTTGTCCGCCTCCTTTTCCCCCCCTCACACCACGCGCATTCCCCCCACTTGTCCGCCTCCTTTCCCCCCCGCACACCACCAGCATCCCCCCCACTTGTCAGAGGGCGAGAGACAAAGTGGGAGGGACAGAGGGGAAGGGAAAGAGGGGGAGTGAAGGAGGGGTAGGGACGAAAGTGCAGGGACGAGAGGGGAGGGATAGTGGGGGAGGGACAGAGGGGCAGGGACAGAGGGGGAGGGACAGAGGGGAGGGAACGAGGGGGAGGGATAGAGGGGGAGGGACAGAGGGGAGGAAAGAAGGGGAAGGACAGAAGGGGAAGTACAAGGGGGAGAGGGGGGAGGACAGATGGGGAGAGACAGAGGGGGGAGGTACAGGGGGGGGGACAGGGGGGGAGAGACAGAGGGGGAAGGGCAAAGGGGGAGAGACATAGGGGGAAGGACACAGGTGGAGTGACAGATGGTGAAGGGCAGAGGGGGGGAGACAAAAGGGGAAGGACGGATAAGAGGGGGAGGGGCACAGAGGGGGAAGGACAGAGGGTGAGAGCGGGTACTTCCCCCACTCCCTCTCCTCGTCGTCCTCACTTCCCCAGGCTTGTTTACACCCCTCTTTATTTTGACCAACCTCCCTTTCTCCCAACAGCTCTGTTTACCCCACAGTCTATTCTCCTTTGCCTCACCTGCCACTCCCCCCTTCCTCCTCCCTGCTTCCCCCCTCCCTCCTCCCTGCTTCCCCCCTCCCTCCTTCCTGCCTCCCCCCTCCCTCCTCCATGCTTCCCCCCTCCCTCCTTCCTGCTTCCCCTCGTCCCCTCCCCTTCTTTCCCCCATCCCCTTCCCTGCTTCCCTCCATCCCCTTCCCTGCTTTCCCCCATCCCCTACCCTGCTTCCCCCCATCCCCCTCCCTGCTTCCCCCCATCCCCTTCCCTGCTTCCCCCCATCCCCTCCCCTGCTTCCCCCCATCCCGTCCCGTGCTTTCCCCCATCCCCTACCCTGCTTCCCCCCATCCCCCTCCCTGCTTCCCCCCATCCCCTTCCCTGCTTCCCCCCATCCCCTGCCCTGCTTCCCCCCATCCCCTTCCCTACTTTCCCCCCATCCCCTTCCCTGTTTCCCCCAATCCCCTTCCCTGTTTCCCCCCATCCCCTTCCCTGCTTCCCCCCCATCCCCTTCCCTGCTTCCCCCCATCACCTTCCCTGCTTCCCCCCATCCCCTTCACTGCTTCCCCCCATCCCCTTCCCCGCTTCCCCCCATCCCCTTCCCTGCTTCCCCCCATCCCCTTCCCTGCTTCCCCCCCCATCCTCTCCCTCCCCATGTACAATCGCAAAGAAAAGGGGGGACGCACGCGCAACAGGGGGGCAGCGCAGCAGACTTGTGTGCAATCTCACTGACTTGTGTGCAATCTCAGTGACCAGCGGCATGCTGCAACATACCCCCCACTCCTTTCATACTCCCCACTCCTCTCATACCCCCCACTCCTTTCATACTCCCCACTCCTCTCATACCCCCCACTCCTTTCATACTCCCCATTCCTCTCATACCCCGCACTCCCCTCGTACGCCCAACTCCTCTCATACCCCACAGTCCCCTCATACCCCCTGCTCCTCTCATATCCCTACACCCTCGTTCCAAACTTCCCACTCCCTTCATATCACCCACTCCTGAAATACCCACCGCTAATGTGAATTCAAATTGTCACTGTTTCGTCTGGTCCCGCTTTCCACCTATGCACTGCTTCCCACGCTTGCACCCCTGCTTTCCGCCCTTGCACCCCTGCTTCCCACCCTTGCACCCCAGCTTCCCACCCTTGCACCCCTGCTTCTCCCCCTTGCACCCCTGCTTTCCACCCTTGCACCCCTGCTTTCCACCCTTGCACCCCTGCTGTCAGCCCTTGCACCCCTGCTGTCAGCCCTTGCACCGCTGCTGTCAGCCCTTGCACTCCTGCTTTTCTGCTTCAAGAGCAGCAGCAAGTCCCTCCAGAGATCCTATAGCTGCCACTGGTTCGTCTGCTCCTACTCTGAGCTACTACCGGTAAATTTTTGAGCCCTCAAGTCGTGCGCCTTCTATCCCACCCATGCATCTGGCATGTGTTGGCAGGCTAACTGATGTGTCGATTCCAGTACTGTGGCTCACTTCACTGCGCATTGTGAACGAGGTCCTTGTGAAATGCAAGTATAAGCCATCCTGAAGTAGTGTATATTGGATACCAAGTGGTTACCTCGGCAATAATTTGCAATAAAGTGCCAACAGAGCTGGGCACTGACACCTTTGGAGTAAGATAACTGTTACACATCATCATGGATGTATCCTTTTTGGGATACCAAACAAGCTAGTGCCCTAGGCAGAATGGAACATGAGCTGGATTAGGGTCTCAAGAATCGAAGCAATGGAGTAGTTTCACCGGACTAACTTCATCCGCACGTGTAACGTATATTGCAACTATAATATGTGCAAGTTTATTTCGCAAAGAAGCATGATTAGGTTTAGGACAGAACGGCATAGTCCTCCACACACATTCAAGCATGACATGTTCAAGACCAAATTAGCACAGTGGGGATGGAAACACAACCCCATTTATTCATCCTGACCTGCCACCCACACCTCCACTTCCTCCCCGTCATAGTGGCCTGCTAGCCACCACTCATCACTATCGTCGCTCCACTCCTCCGCATCTTTTATCACTGCGTCTGCCACATCATCCACTTGATCCGATGGCAATTCCGCCTTATCCCTCTCACAGTGGTAACCTGCAGCTATAGCCAATGAGAAGGAGGATAAGCCAGAATTTAGAGTGGTGTCCCTGTAGCTATGAATAATCTCAACCGCAGAGCATGGCAGGGCATGCCTCGAGGGGGGGAGGGAGAAGGGCGGAGCGGAGCATGACAGGGGAGGGCAGGGCAGGGCATGGCATGGCATGGGAGAGGCATGGCATAACGCGGATGGTGCAGACAAGGGCAGGGCGGGCCATGAGAAAGCAGGGCAGGCATGGCCCCTCTAGTCATGGCATCGCAGAAAAATGAGGGTGTTGACAAGGGCGGGGCGGGGCGGGACAGGGCATTGCAGGGCAGGACATGGCAGGGCAGGGCAGGGCAGGGCAGGGCAGGGCAGGGCAGGGCAGGGCAGGGCAGGGCAGGGCAGGGCAGGGCAGGGCAGGGCAGGGCAGGGTAGGGCATGACAGGGCATGGCAGGGCAGGGCATCTCCTGGAATAGCATGGCATGTTTAGTTGGAGCAGGGAAAGGAGGTGCGGGGCAGGACAGGGAAGATGGGGAGTGGCATGCCGAGGTGGAGTAGAGAAGATCGAGGCGAGACCAAACAGGGCATGGTAGGGAATGGGAGATCTGAGCAGGCCAAGTTATAGCATGGTGGGCGATGGGTGTTTGTCAAATACCTTTGGGGGGGTCGATTGTCGTGGTGGGCGTCGTGGTGGTTCTGCGTGATGCCGAGCAAGCCTCGCGCGGGTTTGAAAGCTCGCCTGATATTCGCCTTGGGCACTTAGCGTGGGAGGTTCGACACATCACCTATAAGCAACATACAGATGGGCTGGAAGACGCGGATGGTGAACACATTACGCTTGCTAGAATGTTTACGTCGAGTATGAGCCATACTGAGCAATAACAACTCACGTTGCGCTGCCGTTGCTTACCCAAACGACGGCGAGCAGATCCACGAGACGTGCCGCACACCGGACCGAACCCGCCTTGGCGCACTGGTGTCACTGGCTCAAGAACAGATGCTATGGGCTGTGCGATCGATGCATCGACCAGCTGCGCAGTCGTTGCTGTTGATTTAGGCATCTCGTCAACATCCACAGTATCTCCATGCCGCAGTGTTCGTTGCCATTCCTCCATGATGCGATCAACCCAAGCCCAATCCATTTTAGTCAAGATGCGCTCCTTGGATCCGCGCCTGATCCTCGTCACCTGTCGGACTCTAGTGCGATAGGCGGTCACCAGGCGATCCATGCCGTGATTCCAATGAAGAACCGCGAGACCGACTCGTGCCGGGAAGCTGCCCTGAAACCGTATCCGCTTAGGTGCGTATTTGATGATTAAATAATGGAAAGACTCGTTCAGAGAACTCGACGCGCCATGCACAAAGGACTTAACCTTCTCAGAGCTTAAGTGCTTGGAGAACCATGCATAAACCGCCTTGTGTGTCGACGACCCAAACTCATATATGGCATGGTCCTTGCCCCACCCCTCTCTGACGCAGCGAGGTGGGGTCTCTCCTACCCCAGTGCAGCCGGAGTGGTCACCGGCCCAGTGGTTGGGTGGGCTCCCAAGCTCCCTCGCCACGTCGGCCGGGGTCATAGGATGCCCCTCTTTCTTCTTCGCACCACATCGCACCATCACGTGATAGAAATGAGAGGATAAGCGTTGTGCCACAGTTTGTTCCTCCTTGCCAGAATCGATATGATCTTCACCTCGTTTCCGCTTTCGGCGACCAGTCCACCGAGGTAGTGTCTCGGGCTCGCTGAACGCATTAGGGTTTTGCACTTCGGTATCAGCCCCGACTCCATCTAGCGCATCTGTGAATGTTAGAAAATGAAATACGAAAACTGAGTATTGCAGGATGCCCTCCCGCACCTACACCAACCCCTGCCATCTGAAACCATGTCAGCGCATACCCTGAGGAGAGGAAGGAGATGGATGGTTCGGGCGTTGGCACAGCAGGGACAAGGATTAGGGCATCTATAGATGTCTGCAGAAATGTGCAAATGCACGTCATGCAGCACCGAGCGGTGAGTGCACGCAATAGAGAAAGAGCCCAAAGCACCAGCAACTCTGGTTGCTGCTGCCTGGGGACTGAACGGGTGGGTGCATGGTGCTGAAACCAGGCCCAAGGCAGCAGCATCCACGGTTGCTGCTGCCTTGGGACAGAACAGGTGGGTTTACATTGGTGAAAGCAAGCCCAAGGCAGTAGCAACTCTGGTTGTTGCTGCCTGGGGACTGAACAGGTGGAGGCATGGTGCTGAAACCAGGCCCAAGGCAGCAGCATCCACGGTTGCTGCTGCCTTGGGACAGAACAGGTGGGTTTACATTGGTGAAAGCAAGCCCAAGGCAGTAGCAACTCTGGTTGTTGCTGCCTGGGGACTGAACAGGTGGAGGCATGGTGCTGAAACCAGGCCCAAGGCAGCAGCATCGAAAGTTGTTGTTGCCTTGGGACTGAACAGATGGGTTTAAAATGGTGAAAGCAAGCCCAAGGCAGCAGCATCCAAAGTTGCTGCTGCCTTGGGACTGAACAGGTGGGTTTACAGTGGTTCCGCGCAAGCCCAAGGCAGTAGAAACTCTGGTTGTTGCTGGCTCGGGACTGAACAGGTGGAGGCATGGCGCTGAAACCAGGCCCAAGGCAGCAGCATCCAAAGTTGCTGCTGCCTTGGGACTGAACAGATGGGTTTAAAATGGTGAAAGCAAGCCCAAGGCAGCAGCATCCAAAGTTGTTGCTGCCTTGGGACTGAACAGGTGGGTTTACAGTGGTTCCGCGCAAGCCCAAGGCAGTAGCAACTCTGGTTGTTGCTGGCTGGGGACTGAACAGGTGGAGGCATGGTGCTGAAACCATGCCCAAGGCAGCAGCATCCACGGTTGCTGCTGCCTTGGGACTGAACAGGTGGGTTTAAAATGGTGAAAGCAAGCCCAAGGCAGTAGCAACTCTGTTGTTGCTGCCTGGGGACTGAACAGGTGGAGGCATGGTGCTGAAACCAGGCCCAAGGCAGCAGCATCCACGGTTGCTGCTGCCTTGGGACAGAACAGGTGGGTTTACATTGGTGAAAGAAAGCCCAAGGCAGTAGCAACTCTGGTTGTTGCTGCCTGGGGACTGAACAGGTGGAGGCATGGCGCTGAAACCAGGCCCAAGGCAGCAGCATCCAAAGTTGCTGCTGCCTTGGGACTGAACAGATGGGTTTAAAATGGTGAAAGCAAGCCCAAGGCAGCAGCATCCAAAGTTGCTGCTGCCTTGGGACTGAACAGGTGGGTTTACAGTGGTTCCGTGCAAGCCCAAGGCAGTAGCAACTCTGGTTGTTGCTGGCTGGGGACTGAACAGGTGGAGGCATGGTGCTGAAACCAGGCCCAAGGCAGCAGCATCCACGGTTGCTGCTGCCTTGGGACTGAACAGGTGGGTTTAAAATGGTGAAAGCAAGCCCAAGGCAGCACCAACTCTGGTTGTTGCTGCCTGGGGACTGAACAGGTGGAGGCATGGTGCTGAAACCAGGCCCAAGGCAGCAGCAGCCAGAGATGCTGCTGCCTTGGGACTGAACAGGTGGGTTTACAATGGTGAAAGCAAGCCCAAGGCAGCAGCATCCAAAGCTGCTGCTGCCTTGGGACAGAACAGGTGGGTTTACAGTGGTGAAAGCAAGCCCAAGGCAGCAGCAACTCTGGTTGTTGCTGCCTGGGGACTGAACAGGTGGAGGCATGGTGCTGAAACCAGGCCCAAGGCAGCAGCATCCACGGTTGCTGCTGCCTTGGGACAGAACAGGTGGGTTTACATTGGTGAAAGCAAGCCCAAGGCAGTAGCAACTCTGGTTGTTGCTGCCTGGGGACTGAACAGGTGGAGGCATGGTGCTGAAACCAGGCCCAAGGCAGCAGCATCCGAAGTTGCTGTTGCCTTGGGACTGAACAGATGGGTTTAAAATGGTGAAAGCAAGCCCAAGGCAGCAGCATCCAAAGTTGCTGCTGCCTTGGGACTGAACAGGTGGGTTTACAGTGGTTCCGCGCAAGCCCAAGGTAGTAGCAACTCTGGTTGTTGCTGCCTGGGGACTAAACAGGTGGAGGCATGGTGCTGAAACCAGGCCCAAGGCAGCAGCATCCACGGTTGCTGCTGCCTTGGGACTGAACAGGTAGGTTTAAAATGGTGAAAGCAAGCCCAAGGCAGTAGCAACTCTGGTTGTTGCTGCCTGGAGACTGAACAGGTGGAGGCATGGTGCTGAAACCAGGCCCAAGGCAGCAGCATCCACGGTTGCTGCTGCCTTGGGACAGAACAGGTGGGTTTACATTGGTGAAAGCAAGCCCAAGGCAGTAGCAACTCTGGTTGTTGCTGCCTGGGGACTGAACAGGTGGAGGCATGGTGCTGAAACCAGGCCCAAGGCAGCAGCATCCACGGTTGCTGCTGCCTTGGGACAGAACAGGTGGGTTTACATTGGTGAAAGCAAGCCCAAGGCAGTAGCAACTCTGGTTGTTGCTGCCTGGGGACTGAACAGGTGGAGGCATGGTGCTGAAACCAGGCCCAAGGCAGCAGCATCGAAAGTTGTTGTTGCCTTGGGACTGAACAGATGGGTTTAAAATGGTGAAAGCAAGCCCAAGGCAGCAGCATCCAAAGTTGCTGCTGCCTTGGGACTGAACAGGTGGGTTTACAGTGGTTCCGCGCAAGCCCAAGGCAGTAGAAACTCTGGTTGTTGCTGGCTCGGGACTGAACAGGTGGAGGCATGGCGCTGAAACCAGGCCCAAGGCAGCAGCATCCAAAGTTGCTGCTGCCTTGGGACTGAACAGATGGGTTTAAAATGGTGAAAGCAAGCCCAAGGCAGCAGCATCCAAAGTTGTTGCTGCCTTGGGACTGAACAGGTGGGTTTACAGTGGTTCCGCGCAAGCCCAAGGCAGTAGCAACTCTGGTTGTTGCTGGCTGGGGACTGAACAGGTGGAGGCATGGTGCTGAAACCATGCCCAAGGCAGCAGCATCCACGGTTGCTGCTGCCTTGGGACTGAACAGGTGGGTTTAAAATGGTGAAAGCAAGCCCAAGGCAGTAGCAACTCTGTTGTTGCTGCCTGGGGACTGAACAGGTGGAGGCATGGTGCTGAAACCAGGCCCAAGGCAGCAGCATCCACGGTTGCTGCTGCCTTGGGACAGAACAGGTGGGTTTACATTGGTGAAAGAAAGCCCAAGGCAGTAGCAACTCTGGTTGTTGCTGCCTGGGGACTGAACAGGTGGAGGCATGGCGCTGAAACCAGGCCCAAGGCAGCAGCATCCAAAGTTGCTGCTGCCTTGGGACTGAACAGATGGGTTTAAAATGGTGAAAGCAAGCCCAAGGCAGCAGCATCCAAAGTTGCTGCTGCCTTGGGACTGAACAGGTGGGTTTACAGTGGTTCCGTGCAAGCCCAAGGCAGTAGCAACTCTGGTTGTTGCTGGCTGGGGACTGAACAGGTGGAGGCATGGTGCTGAAACCAGGCCCAAGGCAGCAGCATCCACGGTTGCTGCTGCCTTGGGACTGAACAGGTGGGTTTAAAATGGTGAAAGCAAGCCCAAGGCAGCACCAACTCTGGTTGTTGCTGCCTGGGGACTGAACAGGTGGAGGCATGGTGCTGAAACCAGGCCCAAGGCAGCAGCAGCCAGAGATGCTGCTGCCTTGGGACTGAACAGGTGGGTTTACAATGGTGAAAGCAAGCCCAAGGCAGCAGCATCCAAAGCTGCTGCTGCCTTGGGACAGAACAGGTGGGTTTACAGTGGTGAAAGCAAGCCCAAGGCAGCAGCAACTCTGGTTGTTGCTGCCTGGGGACTGAACAGGTGGAGGCATGGTGCTGAAACCAGGCCCAAGGCAGCAGCATCCACGGTTGCTGCTGCCTTGGGACAGAACAGGTGGGTTTACATTGGTGAAAGCAAGCCCAAGGCAGTAGCAACTCTGGTTGTTGCTGCCTGGGGACTGAACAGGTGGAGGCATGGTGCTGAAACCAGGCCCAAGGCAGCAGCATCCGAAGTTGCTGTTGCCTTGGGACTGAACAGATGGGTTTAAAATGGTGAAAGCAAGCCCAAGGCAGCAGCATCCAAAGTTGCTGCTGCCTTGGGACTGAACAGGTGGGTTTACAGTGGTTCCGCGCAAGCCCAAGGTAGTAGCAACTCTGGTTGTTGCTGCCTGGGGACTAAA